TGAGCATTTGGGATTGTTTCCATTTTGGGCTGAGGGCAGGGCTGTCATGCGCCTTCTTGTATGTGTGTCTTGGTGAACAGATGCACCTGTTTCTGTTGGGCATAAGCCAAGGATGGCAATGCTGTTACAGGGTCTACAGAAACTCAGATTTAGTAGGTATCACCAAATAGCATTCCAAAGAGGTCGAACCAGATTACACTCATTCCAGCAATGTTCACAAGTTCCCAGTCACTCCACGGGTATGCCACTATTTGCTCTTTTCTCTCTTTTCAATGTAGTCATTCTGCTGAGTAAGTGTTTTGAATTTTGTACTGCACAAAGGAACACACCAGAGTGGATTGTTAATAATAATAGTGATAATGATAAATAATCAACAAGTTAAGATGAAGACAGTCCTGGAGTGCATTGGTCCTGTTTTGGCTTCAGCCCTTATGGAGAGAATTAATATGTGACTTTCGGCTCTCCTCGGCATCAGTAGATGCCTGTTGCCTTTACTGCCGTTTGGAGGGCACTTTTGTATCTTGAAAGTCTACTCTTTGGAGAGTTGCTGAGCCCTAGAATGAGCCAGCCACAAGGGAAGAGGGACTGAGATGGGCAACTGGTTTCTGGAGACTTCCTCGTGGCCTGGAAATCAGCCACAGTGGAATTTATGGATCCCCTTGTTTTTCAGATTGCAAATTCGGCAAGGGACCCTCTTGGGTGTGGCTTGACTGCAATCCTGGGAAGCTACTGGAACACGAGGAGCCCTGTCCCGTAGGGAGGCATCTGGTGGCAGTGCTTGTGGTGTGCACAGGAGCAGGGGGGTAGCCCCAACACTCCTAGGTGGGGTGGGAAGAGTGAGGACAGTGAAAAAAAATAATTGTGTCCTGAGCCTCAATGCCAAGTGGGGTGCTTGGATGTGGACAGTGGAGTGGGGTGGTCAGGGAGTGAAGCTGAGAGATGGGATGGAATAGATGCCCAGCTGGCCAAACCTGAAGGGTACATGTGGGGTCCCCTGCCTCTGGGAAGGAAGGAAAGTAAACGGATGGCTGCTGGGATGGGCTGTCATCTGGTCTCCAGTTGACCCGGAGGAAGTAAAGGGCTGGCTGCCATTGTGAGAGCTTAGCAGCAGTTAGCCAGAAATGCATTTGTGGCATCATGGGGCCGATCATCCCACCCACACAGCAACCTGGAGAGGCCTCCTTGGTCTTTCCTCTGCTTGTATTCAAATTTAATAACTTCACTAAGGGGAAGCAGTCCTGATAGTCCTGATGTGCAGCCTGTGGGAACTGGGAAGGAATGCCATGCTGGCTGCCAAAATACTTTAAAATGTTGACATTTGTTGGCTAACAGTCGGCTTGTCCCAGGTCCTGCCTCCCCACCTTCCTCAAGTCCCCTGGACCTGTTTAGGACCAGTGCGTAAAAATTAATGGCAAGCACTGTGTTTCCTCAGCCCCTGCCAGGGTGCACCCCCGTGCTAGGAAATGCCCTGTGAAAGACTTGGACTGTCTCCTCGAACTGGACACTCTGCTTCTCAGACTCTGAGGAAGAGTTTGCCCACTGTGATAGTGTCTGTCGGGATAAACCAGAGACTAGAAGCCCAGTGGAGGAAGCATTGTGCACAGAATCCCACGGAGCAATTCAGAGCTGATGAGTGAGGAGGCTTCTAAAGACGAGGGGACCTGTGTCTTAGTTTTAGGTCAGAATGAAAGAAGGAACGATACACAAAAATCTCACGGAGGAGACTTCAGTGGGTACATGTTGTATCTATACCTCCACGACTGAAGGGAGAGAGGGCTGGCAATGAGGGCTCCATGAAGGAGCTAAAAATGCGAGACACTGTTGTCTCTAGACTTAATTACTGAAGCATTTCTTGGGCAATAAATGATGCAATGTGGGTCATAAAAGACATCCTCTGTGAATGGGCCAGCGCGGGAGGGAAGGGAGTGGGGTTTGGAGTGAGGGGCTCTGGTTTCGAATCCTGGCTCTGCCAGAACCAGCTGTGTGACCTTCAGCCGGGGGCACGCTACTGGGTGGGAGGGTCTGATTTGTTCATCTGGACGTTGAGAACAAGGGTGACAGTCCGGGCTGCACGGCTGCTTGGTGAAAGAACTCTGTGGGAGAGTGAGAACAGCTGTTGTGGTAGCAAGTACCGATAGGAAGGAGGCGGGGTGCGGACAGCGGAAGGGACTCTGTTTCTCTAGACGGCTCTGGAACATTCTCTGCAGTTGCCCCTTTGGCAAGAAGATGGGATGGCTGGGGGCAGGGACAGAACAGGATGCCTCTATTTGTGGTTTGCATAAATTAATTCCCGGAACATCATGATGGCAAGAAAGGAAAGCTTTGTGAAAGCCGCAGATTTGGACTCCAGAATTCAACGGGAAGAATCATCAAGTCAGGGCAAGGCATGACATCTGAGTCTCTGGGCATTGCAGTGACTGTTTTGGGGTGTGCAAGAGCAACCGGGAAGATGCCTTGGAGTCTGTGTAAAGAACTACAGTAAGGGGAGAAAGGGAGGCAGAAACGTTTCATTTTATTTAATGAGATGTGCAGACATTCGAATCCCCTAATTCTACCCACAGGGTTCCTTATGGTGGGTGGTAAAATTGGAGCTTCCCCTCAGGTTTCAGAATCTCTCTCTGCTGCTTAAATTCTGCCATAAGAGGCTGCCTTCCTTGGGTCTTACAGGTGTTTTGATTTGATTTTGATACATTTTATTTTTTAAAGTATCTGTCACTCCTGGGAGGGGTCATTATTCAGCTGTGGGTTTTTTTTTTTTTTTTCGCATTTTCTTTTTTGTATTGAGGTAAAATTTAGATCACATAAAATTAGCCATTTCAAAGTGAACAATTCACTGGCATTTAGTACATTCACAGTGCTGTTCGACTACCATCTTTGTTTACTTCCAAAACACTGTCATCATCCCAAAAGAAAACTGAGTACCCGTTAGCTAGGCAGTTACTCCCCATTTCCCCCATTCTCACTTTTCCCCAGTCCCTGGAAACCACCAGTCCACTTTCTATCTCTATGGATTTACTTTCTGAATGTTTCATATGAATGCAATCATATACTATGTGACCTTTAGTGTCTGGCTTCTTTCACTCAGCATCGCATTATCGAGGTTCATCACGTAGCGTGTGTCAGAACTTCATTCCCTTTTATGGCTGAATAATACTCCATTGTATGGCTAGGCCACATTTTATTTATACATCCATCATAGATGGGCATTTGAGTTGCTTCAGTCCTTTAGGTATTGTCAACAGTGCTGCTGTGAACATGAGTGTATAAGTATTCATTTGAGTGCCTGCTTTCAATCCATTTGGATATATAGCTAGGAGTGGAATTGCTGGGTCATATGGTAATTCTATGTTTAACTTTTGGAGAAACTAGAAAGCTGTTTTCCACAGTGGTTGCACCATTTTACATTCCCAGGAGCAGTGTATGAGGGTCCCAATGTCTCTGCATCCTCACCAGCACTTACTATCTCTTTTTTTATTTTAGCCATCTCAGTGGGTATGAAGTGGTATCTCACTGTGGTTTTGGTTTGCATTTCCCTGATGACTAATGATGTTGTTGAGGATATTTTCATGTGTCTATTGGCCATTTGTATAACTTTGGAGAACAGTCTAGTCAAGATCTTTGCCTATTTTTAAAGTGTGTTATTTGCTTTTGTTGTTGATTTTGTAGGAGTACTTTACATATGCTGAATGCTAGGCCCTTATCAGATGGACTTTGCATATATTTGCTCCCAGTCTGTAGGTTGTCTTTTCCCTTTCATACGCTTGTTTTTACATGATGTCCTAGACCTGCTGCTATGTGTGGATTTGATTAATTGATCTTTGAGGGAATCTTTGCTTTCTAGCAATCTTTCCTTGATGGTGCTGGAATGTCTGGCTTAATGTACCTGCCTTTGCTGGTGCTCCTCTAACTCCTCCACATAATACTCAGCTGCTTTTGGTATGCCTTTTTTGTTCATGGGAGAGGGTGCCCAGGGCCTCAATGGGCCCTTCTTGTGGGCCCACAGGCCTCTGAGAAGCAGAGGCGATCTGGTCACCTTCCCAGCCCAGCATGCGCTGGCCTCTGCAGCATTAGTTCACGTGCTGCATTAGTTCACAGCATTGGTTTACATCCCCAGAAGTCCCAGCATGCCTTTGTGGTGATACCTATGTTCAGTTAAGGCACAGTAAGCAGTGGGTGCCCCACAGCCTGCCTTCATCCTGGTGACCCTCCAGAGGCATACACAGCATTGGGCCAAGTCCTCAGGTTGCCCTGGGACAACATGGATGTTGTCCGTGAAGTCCCCGCTGTTACATAGGAGGCGTTTTCTGGTTAGTAGCAATGTGAGGATCATTTCAGGATCAGTGTACAAAAGGAAGAAACCCAGAGTGTGAACTCTCCTTGGCCTTTTCTCAATGGCAACACACCTGGGTCCTTGATTCTTCCTGGTGGAACTGTGTTCTGTGAACATTGTACCAGGCGGCACCTGGCCATGTTATCGTTTCTAAATGCCACGTTTGTTCTTTAAACCCTGAGGACTGAGTGCTCCCGTCCATTCCTGCTCCCCGAGTGCCCAGTGCAGTGGCCTCCTCTTCCATCCCCTGGGCTGTGTGATCCTCTGGCCTTGCATAACCCACCCCTGCATCTTAAAGACTCTTCTCCATCTCCAGGTGAAGAGCAGGCTTGCAGATTCATCTCTCCTGCCCAGAGGCATCTGTCTCATTTGTATCATGCTGGGGTCCCCTTGAAGCAGCAAGCGATCTGGTTCCCAGCACACTGATTAAATAGAAAATGAACACACATGGCAAAAGCTGGGGCTCCTACTTCCGGGCACTTGTAAACATTACAAGACACTTAATTTTAAGGGAAAGTCACTTGCCACTGCTCTTCCCCACATCTCCCAGAGGAAGGGGGCGATGTTACAGGTGCTTTTCCGGGTGATCTGTTCTAGTGCCATGTTTTACTAACTGTTTCAAACTAAAATGGTTTTATTATATAGAATATCTTGTTTTCCCACCCTGCAGAATTAAGGCGGCAGCAGGTGTGAAGATAATGGCAGTGAGAGTCAGCAGTGAGGACCAATGGGCAGTTCAGGAAGAAATTGATAATGGCGACACCCAGACGTCGGCCACCCTCACCTGCATGGGCCATCGCCCGGACATGCAGAGCAGGTAAGCATGGAGATCCCCAAGGCACCTTGGCAGTGGGGAGGTGGGAGTGGCTGCCAGAACTCATAGCAAAATAATGTGCGTGTGGATAAAGCGATGCCTCTGCATTTAGTGGGAAATGGTTTCCTTTGTGCTCATCAGCGTAGCTCAGCCGTGCCGCTTCTGAATGGCTCCATTACTGGAATGTACCACGGTACGAGGCTTCTATCCTCAATGCTCTTCGTACAAAAATGACCTAATGAGGTCGGCAGTCTCAAAAATCACCAGAGTTCAGATTTGTCACAGTGTAGAGTTTGGTAACCGTGTTTTAAATTTTTATTTTTATTATCACTATTGTTTGCAGAGAAGAGCTGAAGAAGGAAATGAGAGGAAATAGAAATGATTTAAGAGGCAAGGGGAAAGTGTACTTTGTAATAAGCAAACCGAGGGTAGCTTTAGCTATTGGGCATTCATCCCTTAGTGCTGAAATGTAGTCATTTTGCTGATACCACACTTGGGAATTGGCACATGGCTTCAGAATCTTAATTTGGATGAAGTTGGCATTGCTGGAAGGCAGCCTGTCTTCTCCCATTCAGACACCAGCCTTGGGCTTTACAGGGCTGAACTTACCTGGGACCCACAGAGAAGTTGTCATTGGTCATCTCACATCAGGACACCTGGCAGGTAGAGCTCTCACCTGTGTTGCAACTGCCTTCCCTACAAAGTCTGCCTCTATGTTCTTCTTCTTTCATTAAACACCAGTCTTCTATGGGATTGCTTCACTTGGAGGGCCAACCAGCTTTGCTACTTTAAAACCTCTGGCTCCTGCTTCTCCCAGGAGGGGGCTCAGACTCCTCAGCTTAGCACACAAGCCCCTTCTGAGTCTGTTACTTGTCACAGTATATTGTCACAACTAGTTCTCTTTCTTCCCTAATCTTTAAACTCTTCAAGGCCTGCAGTGTCAGGAATAGGGGAGGCCCTCTGTGAATGAATGAGGGCCTGGGTGGAGGGAAGCATGAGAAATGGAGGGTCTTTCCCAATGAGTTGCTGGCAAGTGCTGTCTCTTCTTGGGTGACCCCAGCCAACCTCAGCTAGAACCCTCTTCTGCCTGCTTTTGGAGATCTCCTTCAGAGGGAGAGAAGTGACTCAGACAGAGTGGTCCAAAGCCTGCTGTTAGGAATCGCTGACCAGGTAATCTGGATGCCCCTCACTCCAAACTCTATGTTCCACTCATCATTCTCTACATCTACCGACAGGGTTTTCTTTCTTTCTTTTTTTTTTTTTTTTTTTTTTTTTTTTTTTTTTTTTTTGAGATGGAGTTTCGCTCTTGTTACCCAGGCTGGAGTGCAATGGCACGATCTCGGCTCTCTGCAGCCTCCGCCTACTGGGTTCAGGCAATTCTCCTGCCTCAGCCTCCTGAGTAGCTGGAATTACAGGCACACACCACCATGCCCAGCTAATTTTTTATATTTTTAGTAGAGACGGGGTTTCACCATGTTGACCAGGATGGTCTCGATCTCTTGACCTTGTGATCCACCCGCCTCGGCCTCCCAAAGTGCTGGGATTACAGGCGTGAGCCACCGCGCCCAGCCTATCGACACGGTTTTCAACCCCACTTGGCCCGTGGTTTCCCTGGAAGTCTGTATCTGCCTGCTAGACACTCCTAGATCCTGGGTTGTTAATATTTCTAGAGAGTCTAGGAGTTTTACATTTGCTTAGGTGCTTTCAGTTGCAAATGATAGAATATTTACCTAAAATTGGCTGCTGCAGAGGGTTTTATCATCCCACATAAGAAACGAGGGGTAGATGGATGGTGGATCCAGCAGCACACCTGTGTCTCCTGGGCGTTTTCTGTCTTATAGAAAACACCCAGTGCCCATTATAGTGCACACTCCATTATACCCAGTGCCCTGACTGTCACTCTCCAGCTTGGTTCCTCATGGTCACAGGATGGCTGCAGCTCTTCCAGGCATCACAGACTCACCCAGTGATATCTAAAGACTGGAAAGGAGGGGGTCTCTCCTCATGTGTCTCTTTTTACCAGGGAAGAAAACCTTTCCAACAATATCCATGGAAGCCTTCCCTTTAGATCTTATCAATATGCAGTGGGTGCCATGCTTTTGCTCAAGAGGCAGGGTACCTTCGGAAAATGAGTATCTGGTATTATTTCCAGGCTTTGTAGTGGGAGATGGTCTCTGTTGCCAGGGAATGAGAATGGGAGAATGGGCGCCTGCTAGGTGGTCAGCTCACATGTTTACCACACTCTTTGAAGTTGGTTTCTGTCAAAGGTTGTAGCTTGATTCTCTATTTTGCCCGGGGGCCCTGTGTGTTTTTATTCCCAGTAGAAGACTTCCTCTGGGTTGCTGGCCTTATCAGGTGGCTTTGTGTCCCTGTAGGTAGAGAAGTTTTGGGGCGACGTGGTACCAGGAATGCAGGGTCAGCTGCTCAAGCGTATCCTTAGCAACCTGTCTCCCTGGTTTGGCTTTTTCTCAGACAGACCCTTCCCACCTGGAGGCAAGATGACTGCTAGCAGCTCCCAGCAAACATCTGCTGACTTGGTCACTTCAGGGAGAAAGCTGTTCTCCCCAGCCAGGCCCAGCACAGGTCCCGGGGCTGGTCACCTCTGGCTCTGTTTGGCGTCACTTAGATCGTGTACCCATCCTGAACCAATCACTGCAGTCAGCCCAGAATGAGGGGTTGTGACCAGCCCTATTGGAAGAATGTGGGCAGAGGGTAGGGGAGGGATTGCAGGTGGGCAGCGGGTGCTGATGGGGACAGGAGCTGGAGCGGGCGCCATCCCAGTTACCTTAGCCTCATGGCTCCTGCTGTTGTGTCATGGGAGTCCAAATGGGATTTTCTAGCTCCCTGCCCTCAGAAATCACTGCCTGGGTACATAATGGTGGGATCCTTGGTCTATGCATAGGAAATGAATTTTGTTGATATATTTGACTGACCAAGTGGTAATGTTTTAAATTGAAGAGCAACATGGGCCATGATTATTACTTTTTGATTCTGTGAGAATCAGTTTTGCATTCTCTTTAGAAAAGATTAAAAAAGGTTACAGGGGAAGAAAGAGAAGTAGTTATATAAGCAGAGTTACATAAGTATGAGACACTATCACGTCGCCTCATAAAGGAGAAAGAGTGTCCTCTTTCTCCTTCTCTTTCTTCACATTTAGTACGTGACCTCCCTTGGGCCCTAAGAAGGGCAGGGATTGTCACTTTGGCATGACAATTCATGCTTACCTAATCTCTTTCTAAAATCCATTTCATTATCTAAATAAATAATTGCTTCTTTTTGTCCTTTTTTTTTGTTGAATTGTAATATCAAATGAGGTGTGAAGTACAGGCTTGCGGACCATGCTTGCTGCCTAACAAAGTGAATATATGAATATATCCCTAACAAAACATCCTGCAGAAAGCTGTAATCTCTGAATTGTGACAACCTTGAGTGGAATAGACTTTTTAATAGAATATAATGTACAAACTGCCTGAAATTCTGTGATAAGAATTAAAAATGTGTTGTATGGGAAGACCCGACGTGCTCGGTTAGAACGGCAGTAAAGATCTTAATTTAAAATATTTTAATGAACACTCATTGTGAGGAAGTGTGAGTAATAAAGATGAAAACCACAAGATAAAGAGTGGTGTTGCCAAAAGAGGAGAGAGGAGATTAGAAAAATAAGCAAATTTGAAAGTGTTCAGAACAGATAACACTGAACCAAGGGAAATGAAAGCTGGATGACGGACTATTTGCATGGAAGCCACGTGCAGCTATGTAGGTTGAGATGAGGTTGTTCTACGAATGATTCCTTTCTGACTGTTGGGACCCAAACCCAGAGCAAATAAACTGCAGCTCTTTATGTGGTCGGAAACCACAATACAGAGCCCATTCTTATCTAAAAATTCTAATAGAGGCAGAGAAAAGCTCAGAGGATAGGCAGGCAAAAGCCCTAAAATAGATTTCTTCAAAGAAAAAGACACACACACGTTGCTGTAACCCAGCTCAAGGTAAAGTCAAGATCCAATCCAACTGTTCACTGTGAAGGCTATTGCCTGTTCTGTTCTCACACTGCCAGCAGAGACATACCCAAGACTGGATAATTTATAAAGGAAAGAGGTTTAATGGACTCATAGTTCCACGTGGCTGGGGAGGCCTCAAAATTGTGGCTGAAGGTGAAGGAGGAGCAAAGTTACATTTTACATGGTGGCAGGTAAGAGAGCTTGTGTAGGGGAACTCCCCTTTATGAAACCATCAGTTCTCATCAGACTTATTCACTATCACAAAAAAAGATGGGAAAGACCCATCACCATGATTCATTTACCTCCCACCAGATCCCTTCCACTATGTTGGAAATATGAGAGCTATAATTCAAAGTGATATTTGGGTGGGGATACAGCCAAACCGTATCATTCCACCCCTGGCCTTTCCCAAATCTCATGTCCTTATATTTCAAAACAAATCGTGCCTTCCCAACAATCCTCCAAAGTCTCAACTCACTTCAGCATTAACACAAAAGTCCATAGTCCAGTCTCATCTGAGACAAGGCAAGTCCCTCCTGCCTATGAGCCTCTAGAATCAAAAGCAAGTTAGTTACTTCCTAGATGCAATGGGGGTACAGGCATGTGGTAAATACAGCCATTCCAATGGGAGAAATTGGACAAAATAAAGAGACTACAGGCCCCAGGGAAGTCTGAAATCCAGCAGGGCAGTCAAAGCTCTAAAATGGTCTCCTTTGACTCCATGTCTCACATCCAGGTCATATTGATGCAAAGGGTGGGTTCCCACAGTCTTGGGAAACTCTGCCTCTGTGGCTATGCAGGGTATAGCCCCCTTCCTGGCTGCTTCTGGGCTGGCATTGTGTGTCTGCAACTTTTCCAGGCACACAGTGCAAGCTGTCATTGATCTACCATTCTGGGTTCTGGAGGTCAGTGGCCCTCTTCTCACAGCTCCACTAGGCAGTGCCTCAGTGGGGACTCTGTGTGGGGGCTTCCACCCCACGTTTCTCTTCTGTACTGCTCTAG